AAGCGCTGTCCCCGGTGGAAACGGAGAAAAGACTGGGCAAGCGGAAAAGCGACAGCTCAGGTAAAGCCGTCTCTCTCGCGGGTCCTCTGTCCAGGAAAGTGGCTCTGTGTGTCTGTGCGTGTGCGTGTGCGTGACTTCGCGCGAAGAAAAAGAAAATCCGGGTTGGGTGACCGGGCAGCTCCGAAGCGACTGAGGTCGGGCCGTGGATGCGTTCTGGGCAGCGTTCGGCGCATGGGCGCTGCATCTCTCGCGTGGTAGTGACAAGACCCCAGCGGTAGCACGCGAGGGCTTAGACACTACCCTCTCTCCAGACTACACTAACACACGAGAGTTGCCGCTCGATGCCTCATGCCACAAGCGCTGGGGACACAGGTCGTGCATGCGCCCAGGCGTAGCGACAGGCCCCTTGAGCCTCAAGGAGCTGCAGAACCCCTGAAATCACAGCCTTTCTAAAGAGCTCAGCTTGGGGGGCGTCTGTATTCACGTGTGTCTCTCCGACACCTGCATCTCCTTTTTCTCCTCAAGATTCTCCCTAACGAAGAAAAGCGTAGGGCTGCGTGCGTCCTCACGAGAAGTACCATCCCCAGTCAAGGAATGAATCTAGTTTCTTTTTAGGACTGCCCACCTAATGTATTTCTGAAACATTGCTAGAATTGGGATAAGATCTGCTTCTGAGAAGTCTGCAGTAATTATTTTGATTAGTCTTACGGAATGAAGACAGATTGCACAAATCTGCAAACCATTCTTTTCAAAGAGGACTGTAGAAGTGGATTCCTCCTCCTGAAAAAGTACATAAAATAATCAGATGCAAGTGCATGCGTACAAATATGTGTGTTTGTATATATAATTTTAATCTGCGTTTAATCATACTTAAAGCAGATTCTTGAATTCAGTATAACAAGTTAGCATATGGCACATTGATTTCATTGCATTTGCTTTATCATCTTTATTTGGAGACTTTGGGTTTATATTTGTACTATTTCAATGCCTGTTTAAATTTGTTTCTGTATTCAAATACAGTATATATATTTATTTGGAACATAATATATAAATCTATTTAGAAAGAATTCCAAGTTTCAGTCAAGTAAAAGTCACAGTCTAATTTGAAGTTTAAAAGTACAAAATTATCCACAGTTATATTTGAATTCTTAGGACTGTTATATAGAAATTAATTTAGTTGGTTTTAGTTCCTTGACAGTTTAATGCAAAATACATAAAGTCCTACTAACTTTGAAATGTGTTGTACTATGTCTTGTAGTTTAGGAACAGAAACCGAAGTTTAGGAACTTTAAAAAAGTTTCAGTGGGGTAAGAAATGTTCAGGCAGTCATGGAGAAAGGATGTTACTTTCATTATAATGCTGCTAAAGGTAAGAAATAGATGTGCATACGTGCATACACATCATCACACACATGCAATAGGATGGTACATAAAGCTGACTTTAGAAAGAAGCCAGAAGGATTTCTACTTATGACTAAAAATAAGAAGAAAAGCTGGACCTTTTATTGCAAATTCTATTTTTTTTAAAAATAGATGGCTTTCTGAATTGGTTAGGTTTGAGCAATTTAGGATTGTTTAAACAACTTTCTGTGTTAAGAAATCTAGAATTATAACAATTTTATTATTTTATTATAACTTGTTCCTAGTAATTGACAAAATAAAGTGGCAGGCTAAAGATTTGAAAGGGATATCAATTGGAATTTATTAAACATTTTTAATTATAATTCTCTACGAATTGAAGTAATTATTATTTCTAGAGAAATAATGGTTGGTAGAAGTGTAAGAGTAATAATGTTACTTAATGCAGTATGTAAAAGAAATGCTATATAATTTAACAGAAATGTTCAGAAATATTAAACAGAAATGTTAATCTCCTTTAACATTTATTAAAGTTCAGATACCTAGATAATTAAAACTGCATTACAATAGATTGCAGTGTGATAGGTTGAATTAAATATCAAAACACAATTCTATAAACATTGATTGGGAGCTAGTCCTAATTATATTTTTACACCCATGTTTTACAAAGAAACAATTTAGCGTGACTACCTTTCCAGTATAAAATTATATTATCAACCTTTTTGGCCTAAATGGGTATACATCTATCTTTAATCTTTATTATATCAAATGCTGCATTCACTGTATACTTTTGAACAGCACTTTCAACATAGTGTATCTATGGATTGCAAATCTCAGGTTTAATATCATCACACCCATATATTTTCACATGCCAAATGTCTCTGTATATATCGCACAAGCTAGATTTTATTTATTTATTTATTTATTGGTTCAAATTTCTTTATTTTTTAACCTCATTGAAATAATGAATTTGGAAACATAACATTTCCAGCAAATAACAGTTTTTAAATTATGATTTCATATCCTATGATATTCACATACCCAAATATTTTTATGGAGCTGTACCAAAGTTTATCAAATTTGTATCTTATCATTTGTTATATATACATACACATATTTAATATAAAAGATGTAAAGCCGTATGAGCAACTAATTGGCCAGTGCATTAATAAAAAAAACTTTTTATAACTTAAAGAAATCAAGGGTTTCACAAAATTCATAACTATTTATTTACAGTTGTTGACAGGAAACAATTAGAGAAAATATTATTTACCTAGTATTTCTGCTGTACAAATCATCTGATTTGTATTATTTGTGGAATACTAGCAATATAAATGGCAATATGCTTGTGTTTTGCTAAAACATTGGTCATAGATGCTATACAGAAACAGAGGGATCAAGGGAGGAGTGTCAACTTCCTTGTTGCCCATAGGCACAGGGCCCTGGCTGGGCTTTTGGTCTTTAAAAAAATCTGGTTTGTTCTCCTGTAGAGCCAGCATGCTCCCATAGAGAAATCTAGGCATTTGCCTAGAGTGACATGATGGTTTGTGGGTGGAACAACAAATGGAAACAGGCTTCAGGTAAGCATGGCAGAGAGCCTTGGTGTATACTAAGGGTGCAGACTAGGTTCCCAGTAGGTAGTAGCAAACAGAAACAGACAATTCTTATCTAGTGGTTGTCCAGATTTTTGCAGCCCAGGCCTGGTAACCTCAGTCAGCTGATACCCTAAGTTGTTTCTGCTGCTGTTTATCCCTGTGAGCAAATCTGCTCCCTTGAGTACACCCCTAGGTATCTAACTGATGACTGATACTGGAAGTGGACATCCAAGGGTGTTTGTTACCTTAGAGTCCAGAGACCTCTCATTATGCCTCTGCATAGACAAGACACTCACAGAAAGATGAACAAATGTAATTTTTTCTTCTTGTCTTTTACTGGTGTTCCATGGATTTCCCTGTATATAACAGAATATAATAGAAAGCCAGGAAAACAGTTACCTGTTTTCAAAACAGTCAGTGTATGATATCACAACAGGAAATATAATAATCAAAAGTAGTAGACAATTGCTGGCAAATGTTCCATGTCTTGGCACAAGCTTGTTCTGACAATATACCCACTTTCTCTAAGATAATGCAACATAAGAAAAACAAATTGCATTTTTCATTTTGAATGACATATATTGCCTATAATTTCACCTTTTTATTTCAGAAATCTTGTGTACTATTTATAATAAAACCCTATTATGTATCACAAATGAATGTAAATCTGGTAGAATTGGGATCTCTAAGTTATAATGGTAGCTACTTTCTCCTCTTCCTTCTTCTTCCTCCTTCTCTTGTGTATTGGGATTCCAAAATATTCTGTCATGTAATATATGTCTATCTTCATTATTTTATTCCGCTGTTAATATGTTCTCACCTTCCTTTCATGTAAAGCTATGGTTTATATTTACAAGAATACACAGGCAATTAACTGCCACAAAGCTCTGATCGTGGAGCCCCATCTTAAATGTAAGGCTACAAAACCTATTAAATTCAGTGAGTATTGCATCAGTGTAAAAAAATTACGCTTGGAAGGTAAAAAGATTTAAAAATTTATTCTGTATTACTTCTTGAAATATTTAATCATCTCTCCTTAGATCACAAACACAAAAAGAACAGGATACATTTTTAGGAATATGTTTTGATAAATTTTGCGTTCCATTGTAACATATGTTGGTATCCCAGTTTTAAAGGCCAGAGTCTAATTTAGGTTTAGATGTGCTTAAACCACTTAGATAAGTGGGTTATAATATTGTAATACTCTGCGAGTACAACTGATGTGCAGGTTTCTACACTGTAGTGGGGCTGATAATAGTATAGTAGTCCTGTATCACCCTCAATGGATAGAGATTGTCCAGAAGTAACATTTGATGGATTATTTTATAAATATTTAGTGTATTTCCCAAGAAATGCCTTTGAAAAAAACATGTACATTCAATGATAAACTTATCATGTCTGAGAAAATGATTTGATAAATGTGTGTTAACAGTATGAATTCATTGCTTTAGTAACTTCTAATTACTCTCCAAAACATTTCAGTAAGAAAAATGACCTGTATATCTTTTCAAAAGGAACACTATAACTGATTCATCAAAGTTCTTAAACCTTTCAGCATGCTGCTAAGTGTAAACAAGCAAGAAGTATTCTGTGTGATTTTCTTCTGGACAGAGTTAATTTGCTAATGATACTTAGTTTTATTATCAGAATGTCTGATGCCTACTGGGACTTTGGGTTTCTGTTTCTTAAAAAGCAGTTCTCTGTGCCTCATGGCATGGCCTCCATGCTTTCGAACTCAGAGTTCTTTTAAAATGAACTATTGAAAGAGAAAAACATTGCCATAGGAAATGTCTTGGTTATTCAAGCTCAGCCTTTGGTTCCTGGCTAATATTTGGGGTATAGGCCCTAACATTACTTTATTCCTTTTCTCTGAATGGTACATACCAGTACCATATCACAAGCTGTTTCTGTAAGTCTCTCCAAATTAAAAAGCAGTTTCCCATGTTGTGCTGGGTGTTGCCTTACCAAATAGAGAGTTCAAAGCTTCCTGTTCATACAGGCCATAAATTGTGGGGGGGTGGGGGTGGGGGTGAGAAGTCTTACAGTATTTTGACAATATTGTAGTAGGATATGGCTTGAGTGGACCAAAATTTAATTTTATATTAAT